GGGTTCGAGTCTCAAAGAATAGATTCATCTCAGGCATTCCAGATGTGTAATCGACTCAAGAACTGTTGCCATCTACACCATATGCTGTGCATCGGTATAATTGTGAATGGAAAGTGAATTCCGAAGGGTATTGGTTGCTTTAGGATGTGTGCAAGTGATTTTAAGAAGTACCTGACAGAAGCCAGGTCTCTCGGTGAGTCTCGTCTTAAATTCGGCTCGCTTTGTACTTGATTACCTTGGACGTGCATTGAGTCCAGTGTCATATTTACCGATGAGGCCATTTTCCTTCTGCATGGGCCAGTGCACAAGAGTGTATCTACAAATGAAGCGGCATGTTTGCGGACACCGCAATATACTCCACGCAATCGCATCGGCCTTACCTGTTGTGTTTCTGTCATCATAGGCACACAGTCATTGCCTGGGTATTGGACTAAGCAAGGTCTCTTATGTCAATCATCGGACCTTTGCTTGCTTTTGTATCAAAATGTGACGGGTAAGTTGTGTAGCCAGTAATTATTTAATCACACTTTCTTAGCCTCCTCTATACACAAAGAGTAATGTTGACAGTCGTGGGTGCTTCCGAGATCGAGTGTCGCTCTGCGGATGAGGAATAGTTGAGTACGGTTTAGGTGGCAGCAGGAGGGGTGCCCGGCCTGATTGTCAGCACAGAAACCGTGAGAGTCAGTTCGCTGGACACTCGATATCAATTCGGTCTATCGAGTAAGGGATTGGTCGGGGGAGAGGACCAATGGTGTGGCCGGCAAGTATCATAGCGTGTCAGGCATGAACATTGAAATCCCCTTACTGGAATGTTCTGTCCTTGTTGGGGATTCACCTGACACGGAAGTCAGTTTTATAAAGTGAAGACCCCTCGTCGTTGTGGAAGGAATACGAAGCGGAGCATCGTAGGATGAATCGTCGCGCGATATCGCGTTGACTGATTTGCACGAGGGTTTCGGATATAGCCAACGCCTCCTTACAGGACGCGAATGCTGCTGTGGCCAGCATAAACTGGCGGTGGGCATTTCGAGCATCTACTGAGTGTTTATTTGTTCGGACTTTTTATTCGACTACTGCATTTCAATACATCTGCTCGCAGTAGAAAGCATTGACTTCAAGGAACTAGAAAGTTCAGCTGCTATGGCTTAATGGTTGTCCGATATATGCGTCGGTGTGGAGGGAATAGCGCACCAGACTACCTGGCGGGTGGGAGTTGCCTGAAGAGAACCAGACGTTTAACGTGAAGCAGCGTACTCGGAGGAAATCGTTGTAAAATTTGATGGGCCTCAGCGCGCGGCGCAGGCCGATTGTTCTCGTTGGGCGGACAGGGTGCCTAGGGTTATAAACAGTGGACTGAGATCGGTTTGGTAGTATTAAAACATACCATGGCTTTCAAAAAGTAGCCGGTTCAAATGGGGGGGGGGGCGGCGGCCAGAATTGTTCTTCACTTTACTTTGGCGAACACCGGGAGAAACGAATAGGGACGGGTGCGTCGCGAAAAAGTGATGGGGCTGGGAAGAAAGATGACCGGGCGATTGATTGGGTGCATGGCTAGGTCAGAACCGAGATATGCTCCATTGTGATTAGTAGGTTTGATGTGAAAAACCTATGTTTCGTCCACTTGGGACCCGAAGCATTTGTTGCAGTCCAGAGATGGCTGGAACTTAATCGGCTAGAGTGCGTTGATTGTTACGGCCTTTAGTGCTTTTGGGGTGGGCTATTGTCCACTACAAGAGAGATTTGTGTGTAGAACCGGTAGGTTGGCGACTAAATAGTGGCTATCTATTCCATCGTAATTTCATTGCCGACTAGTACTCGTTTTATTCCCGTTAGAGCCTCGTTGATGTCGACTATTTAGCGCTGCTTTAAGCCGATCTAACTGCTTACTTAGTGCTATTGTCCTCACGAGAAACAGGCAAGTGCACAGAGTCGTCGGCCTCTGAGTTGAGTACACCGTCCCAAAGTTGGACAACCCTAGCCATCGACCTCGATTCTTATTTAATACTTATATGAAGTCCTTATCAGCACGAATTAAATAAAAGTAAACGTGATGTGACGTTCCTTTTACCTCGAGAACCATGCTATGTCCGTGTAGTGTTGTAATTGATCCTCTCTCGACATTGGCCGAGCCATTTAGGTATGTCATTGAGTGATTTATTTTAGTGTTTACAGGAGTGAACGGCTTATTATACTATGAATAATCGGTGTTTTTAGGGTACTTTTTTTAGTTTGGTGGCATTTACTATGTTTTCAGACCGTGTGCTTCGCGGATGTAGCACCACTGTTTTCTCGGTCATCTGTGGTTTGTGCTTTCGTGATAAGTAGATTGCTGTAGAAGGAAGCTCTGGAATACACTTGCAGGGTGAAAAAGATTTTTTTTCGATTATATTATTGTGTTCTTGCGGTTCTGTTTATGCACCTCCCTAGTTAGCCAGAATACAGCGACTGCGGGATGGTGCTCCCCTGCGTCTTTGTGTTACTGACGGTATTTTCCAAGGTAGATCGGTAATACCTGCGCTACTCCGTTCGGGTGGATTGAGTTTCGTGAAAATCCGGTGCCCACAAATTTGGCCCAAAAGGCTTGGATTCCGAGAAGGCCTAGTATACACAGACAGGCTGTGCGATTATGTGCGAAACTGATGAGGCCGGAGATCAGACCTTATTCGGCTTCTCTATAGCGGCGTCTTGAGTGTCTTTTTTCTTAGTTGTTTACTCGAAGACCACAAAGGAAATTCGAAGTTTCACCAGGAATCCTCGGGATCGCAGCTTTCTACTGTGAAATGACGCACAAAATGCGATTTCATCAACATTCCTTTTCCTACAACACGTGGCTGCAGAAGGTAGTTCCTTACATTGGCATACTATATAGCCGCTACGGTTCGGGTGTCGTGTCTTCTGAGTTGTTGCAGCATGATGCACAATCATTTCAGTTCATGCTATACCGTTTTGTGATCTATCTAAAATTCGAAATTAGCTTTATCCTCGGTCGCTAGGATAGGAACTCCACTTGAGCTCCGGATAGCTTTGCGTCTGCGCTTTTTCATTGAGTTCTTGTTAACTACTCGTCACGGTTCCTTTGCCCTCTGTTTTGTTTCATTATATCAATGATTGCACAGATTTGAGTTTCGGGGGGATCTCGCCGGGTAACTTTGGGTGACCTCTAGAGACGTGCGGAAAACACACCCCCACTGGTTTTTTTTTTTTAGTGTTCTGCAATTGCTATCGAGGGGGGTCGTAGCGTAGGGGTCTTTTTGAGTGTGTTCGATATTGTTTGGGGGGTTGGAGGGTGTATTTTGGGCAGGAATATCTGGTTTGTCGGTATTTTTTGTATTTGTGTACGGCACAAGTTGTTGGGTTTGGATACGCAACATGGTAAGGCGTCCAACACCACGTAGATCTAAACAAGAGTTGTCAGTGGTGATTTGGGTTTTGATGCCATTGGTGATCCGGTAGTAAGATGTCGTATAATGTTTCCTTTCTGGTTTGACTAATTGTCTCTTGGTACTTGGTTAAGGGGGTATGTTTAGTGAGTAGTATTCGGTTAATTGATGTGATTGTACTTTTGTTTCGTATGTCGGCTAACAGCTGTTGGCTGAAGGTCCGTTTTGTCGATGCTATCGATGCGTACGTTTAATGCTTGTTTGAGGCTACGGATGTGACTGAGGATATGGGTGGTGATCTTCGGTGGATTGGATGGGTGTGTTATTTGTGGAATATATTGTCTGATAAGACTCATAACATAGGTGAATGCTGTGGCTCTTCAATATGGTTGTGCATCAGAAGTAGAATATGTGGGAAGTATACAGTGGGAGAAAGCTTGATTTGAGGCTGCCTTGCGACAACTGGATGGAGATTCAAAGTTTGAGTTGGTGATACTGTGGGTTTTAGTGTCACAGAGAGGAATGACCATATTGGGACTGTGGGGTTTGGTTGTGTTGATGCATTTGATGTGTATGTTTGTGTATTTATTTGCAGGGCGTGAGCGTTTGTTCTATTTGTATGTGTACGGTTTGTGATTTTTATTTGATTGAGTCAAAGTCGCGTTATGGATGACTAGAGGTCTAATCACGCATATTGGATACCAACTGTTTAGGGGGTTGCGGCATTTTCAGTCTTGCATTTTCGACACAGAAACCTACTAAATTGCTTAATGGTTCGATAAGTTCGTTCACTCTCATTGTACTGTACAACGGAATTCCACTTCTTCCTTACGAATTGAAGACGAAAATGATTTGCGGTAATCAGTTTTTTCTGACTGTTCGTTGTCAAGGTTAGCAAATCTCTGATTTACCTCCGAGGTGTTTTTCCGCTTCAGCTTTCTGGCATGGGTATCTTCTGTAGTATAATTAATGAACAAGCTTGGATTTGCCGATTGGGGACATTGCGATGGATTTAAGTCTTTTGGAGCTACCGGTGAAGCATATTGAATGGTGGATGCTACCAAACCCACAGAACTAGCGCACCCGCAATCTCAATTTGGAACATGATTCGCACTGAATTCTGAAGCAGACAAGGTAAATGCGAATCGTGGTAGGTATGCCAGCTGATCGTCCTGGGGTAGCACGCCGCAATTACCAATGGAATATCTTGCGAGCATCTACTATGCCGAAAATCATTCTGTTGCGCAACAAAAGGAGGGCATGTTTTACAGCATTCTAATTGACAAATCACAAACTCTGTACAGCCTCGCGATAGGCTATTTGTGAATTTAAGGTAAATTTTTGCAAAAAGTCATCCTTGCACCACAAGTAGCCGACGCTATCGCTTTTTTTTCAATTTTTGCAGGTAACCCTTCCGGGAAGTCACGGGACCTAACAATTGCTATGGACGATCATCTGTTAATCCTCTGTGAAGCGTCTTCTTAATGAATGATTCCTTCATTGTGGCGTAGTTTCGATTCCAGTTGTGTTTGGGCTGGCCGAGATTGTATTATTGACCTACTAATCATGTGGTTGCTGTTGAGTGAAACTCCCACTCCCCTCTAACCCCTCCAGCTCCAGTCACCACCACCACCACCACCCCCACCCCCCCCCCCCCCCCCCCCCACCCCCCCCCCCCCCCCCCCCCCCCCACCCCCCCCCCCCCCCCCCCCCCCCCCCCCCCCCCCCACCCCACCCCCCCCCCCCCCCCCCCCCCCCCCCCCCCCCCCCCCCCCCCCCCCCCCCCCCCCCACCCCCCCCCCCCCCCCCCCCCCCCCCCCCCCCCCCCCCCCCCCCCCCCCACCCCCCCCCCCCCCCCCCCCCCCCCCCCCCCCCCCCCCCCCCCCCCCCCCCCCCCCCCCCCCCCCCCCCCCCCCCCCCCCCCCCCCCCCCCCCCCCCCCCCCCCACCCCCCCCCCCCCCCACCCCCCCCCCCCCCCCCCCCCCCCCACCCCCCCCCCCCCCACCCCCCCCCCCCCCCCCCCCCCCCCCCCCCCCCCCCCCCCCCCCCCCCCCCACTCCCCCCACCTACCCCCCCCTACTTATCTCACCGTGTTAAAACATACTCCCCCCTAAACCCCTCAATAAACCCCAACACCCCCCCAAACTGTTTCAAATCCCCCAACACAATCCCCAATCACTTACTTTCCACAATCCCTACTAATCCCCCCCTACCCCCCCCACACCAATCAAAATACTCACTTACCTAACATTCCACTCCCTAAATCCAGTATCACCCCCCCCCCCCCCCTTGATGACTGCTATGGAAGCGAGTGTGACAGCAGCAGCTTTCGCCAAGCTAGGGCCACTGGATGTTCACTTGGTATTACTGGATTCATGCCTCACACTCCACGACAAGTTGTTAGCAGCTCGTCAACTTCAAATTCATACATGAGGGATCTGATTGCGGTTTGGTGCGAGTCCACCAGCATACGTGTAGTGCTGCCCCAATCTCAGATATCATCTCCGCACTCTCTGCTTCCAGATCACTAGGCCTGTAGGGAATTTGAACCCTTGTTCTATTTCTTTGACGTGTCAAAAGGACGTATGAGCTGAAAGCGATTACGGTTCATTTTGTCTTGGGTATTTTGCAACTAGTGCAAACGGCAGCTTCACATAAAACAGTAAATCTCACCCACCCACATTTCGCCAACACTCAGGTGGATCGAGCTTTAGGGCACACGTAGAACATCCGCATTTCTTTTGGTAGCAGCAGTCTAACGAAATAGGAAAACAAATCTATACCAGCACGTCACCATGATCTGTTGTTGTTCGGTCGTTGTGGGAGTACGATTAGCCGCTCAGCTGTACATCCCGTGGAATTATATCGGAAGTTAAAAGAGTCCCAGAGAGTCCCACCGGCCACCGGAAATTAACTAATGGGCAATACTTTTACGCTTGTTAAGTCATTCGCAACTACTGAATGTGTCATGACCGTGGAACAAACGGTTGAACGTGAATCCTCAGTGATCTATTTACACAGTTTCCATGGATACTTAAAATACCAAAAATTCTAGTACCATGGCATATTAAGGTTTTCCAAATTGGCCGGATACGTATCTGGGCGATAAGGAATATTTAAACATTCAAGTCTGCCAAGGCGGGGAACTCAAGTCAAGTCAATAAAATGCTTAATACACCAACAACGCTTGAATATTCAGCCGTAAACAGACTGGCTTAATCAAATAAATGCATCGTACGCGCTGGATTCTTCCATCACCTTTCTTTCTAAAATGGGTGATTAGATTTGACCTAAACGCTTCTTTATCTACTTTAGGATTCTTTTACCATACCAATACTGTAAAATTCCTTCTCGTGCTCATTGCGAAACTGATTTTGATTTAATTCTCCAAGCTGATGGAATAAAATGAGATTTGATAAAATCTGTTCAAAAGGCACTGCACTCAGCTTTCTTTTTATTTCTGTATTCTGCTAGAATTAACTCCTTAGGCGGCCGCGCACTTGCAAATAGATCCGATGAGCCTCCAGTAGCTGGTAGACATTGTTCCGGACTCATTTATGCAGAAGTAGCATCTCATATTTTCATCGCCTAATTGTTACGAATTCTTATTTTGCTAAGGTGGTTTATGTGAAGGTAACATTCAGTCTACAACAGCGTTGTCACTAACCCTTTTATCATTTGCTAGGATAACATTAAGCAACTGTCGAAGCGCCATCAACATTTGAACACGGTAGCCAGTGCATAATGCACTGCTGTCGAGATGTTGCAAACCACCAACCAAAAACGTCGGCATCGACCCAATCTGAGCTGGCCTTTGTCGAAATCGACGAGGGTCATTAACATATTTCAAGGACACATGCACCGCAATGCGTCCTCACGTCGTATTCACACCCCCAGACATGCGTGGATGAGTAAATACAGTAGACGTACATGCCATTGGTGGGTCGGCAAATTAGTGCGTTCCAATCTACCCCTGACCAGCGCGGCGACTAAGCAAAAACGAAAGACTCTTCTCAAATGCACTGTATGTGCGGCACCGGAGGAAAATGATGCACGACGTACTGAAAGCTTACGAGGAAGGCGACGATTGGAAGCAGAACGCTTGTATACTGAAGCTGAACGTGGAAACTTGCCGCAACTGGATACGGGCGTATGAATCGACGGAACCGGTGGGGTAGCAGGGAGAGACTGTCGCAGATCACTGGGACAAAACCAAGTCGACTCTATGGAGTGCGTTTATGCGGAGCTTGCCGGTACACTTAAACTCATAGTTTCCGGTTGAAGGCGAAGTAAAAAATCTCGGTAAGTACCAGCACGGTCTCACGATACTTGGATGCTAGACTTACAACAATGAAGAAATTGCACACCATTCCAGAGTCGATGAAAACGTTGGAGACCAAAAAGCGACGCAGATCATTCGTGTTGCATCTAATGGATTACGAGGTGTAAGGAAGAAAACCGGTGTGGATAGATGAGACCAATTTCAACTTATTTTGCTTCCGCACTTGTGGCCGCTCACGACGTGGTAGTCCAGCGCAGTGTACAGTGGCGAACAGCCGGGGACCGAATGGTCATCTTGTCGGCGTCGTGAAAAACAACAGCTTGATCTCGTGTTCGGTTCTAAGAGGAAGTTACAACAAGCAAAGATGCGCTCAGTGGCTGCGACAAATGTTTGCTACCAACGGAGCAGGTTTGTGGAAAGGTGTCTTTTGATTTGTGACAACGCGCCCTGTCAGACGCATCTGGAGCACCTTTTCCTGGAGGAACCGTACCGCTCTGGGAGACTTCTACGCCTTGCGCCATACTCACTAACTCTCAATCCCATCGAGGGCATCTGGAACCTAATAATGGCTCAAGTAAAATGGGCAATGATGGGAGGGTATTCCGATATGCACCTGGGGGATCCGGAAGACGTTACGAATAAAAGCGAATGGCAGTTTCGCATTCTGGAGCAGGCGGTGTCTGAAGCACGGACCTCAGTGAAACAGCAGCACTGCCAACAAATGGTTCAACATGTCAGCAAGAAGTATGGACGTGTTGTTAGTTGGGCCGATCTGTACAGTTTTCACTTGGCAGTAAACTACCTGTTCCAAGCGAGTGTTGTTCTTATTATCATGACGGGTCAGAGTGTACTTTATACTGATAGAAATAGCCACCTCTCTAAACGAGGGAACATCGTGAATATTCGAGTAAGACGTTGGGCGCGGTCTCGTCGCAAGTAAAGATGTATCGACTGAATTCGTGCGCCGGCTAATGCCCTCTTTTCCTTAGGAACGTCATTTGATGTTTTCTGCTGGGGTTTGTGTGCGCGTGTCGTGTTATAAATAGCTCGGGATATTCGTTCTCCCGTAGGTCACCCCAAATTGAAAGTCGTCCCTACGGTTCAGGTTATCTACTCCATCAACTCTACGTGGTAGAATAGCAAAATATTTGACACAGCCAGGCATTCGAGCATCTCGGCTTCCTTATTTGTAAGGACTGCCGAAAATCCACAATGACAATATCCCATTAGCACTAACTGTTTCAATGGTAGGCGCACGGTATCTGAAGTCGGCCAAATGCCTGACCAATGTAATCCAGCTTATCCTAATGGAACTAACCGACTACACCGTTAAAGACAGTTTGTGCATAGAATACATGCTACCGCAAGTACAGTGGGCTTACTGACAATAGACTCACAGGGAGTCGCAGCGCACATCCCTAACATGGTTGCAAAGAGTCCCAAGCTGCCTACCAGTACGGCCGCCCGCCACATACTCGATTGATCCGCGTGCCAAAACCCTGGTTGGTCATTCATCGTAATTAGCTAACGAAGAGACTCCATACCATTTCCCACCTATGTTCTTGAATTATTAACTTAAATTCATTGGATCACAAAGCGTTGGCGTAGGCATCATCAGTGATTGCCCATATTGTTCTAATGCAGGTAGCGAATCACAGTTATCTCTTACGCAGTGTTTTCATTCATAAGCTGGGAAAACGGGTCCCATAACTTAATTCGGCTTAATGTATATATGGTTGAGTATCGAAAATGTGGCTCCTGTGATAAGATGCCCTAAAGTTTCTTCAGTTTTCCTTCGGCATTTTTCAGTTGGGTATGTTTGTCGCATTACCTATTGGTGGGGCTCATTACCACAGGTGCCAGTACATCAGCACATGCAGCAATGTTGTTGACAAGTTCACCAGCAGCCATAGTCGGTTTGCCGGTTCAGAATGTCGACTCCCAATTCATAGTGCAGATAAGTTCCTTAAATGCATTCCAGTCACTACGATGAATGTTGTGGGTGGGCTGCAACTTTGTACTGGCGTGACTTTTTTCGTTACATGTTCACGATACAGAACGCCGAGTTGTAGTCGCAGCCCTTTGGTGAACTGTCGATGAGTGCTCATGTAGAATAGATCCTCATGGTGTAAACCGAATCTAGGTTATTGCATTTCCAGTTTGCGCTCTGACATATGTGATGCGGTCATTAAGTGAATAAAACGTACCATTTCGTCTAGTCGCGTTTGGACCTAGGTCCAGGTAGGAACCAGTTAACTTTTGACGCATTAAATTATTCACACATAACTTTGGACTTGTTTGTAGCGCATGAAACTTTGTAGATAGCATACATTAGCTGCTAGGTTTTATGGTGGGTAGCTCGGGGTGTTCAGTCGATATACTCGATTAGTGGACGCCTACCAATTGTAACACGTTCCGCAATCTAACGATTGGAACTTGAAGAAATTGTCAGCATCAGCAGCCATTGTTTTCTATACGAACGTTCATTTGTTTACTGGTATCGAACCAGGCCTGTAGGAAATCATGTTATGCCTAATTGATTGTACATTCCGAGAATAAGAAACCTATCATCTCATTTTAACTATTCGCTGTTGTTTAAACATTTAGACTTTGATATAACAAGAGGCAACCAATGTGTTAATCTCTTGTGAAGGGTCCTCGACCGTGTAGATTCCTCCATCTTCTACCGGCTGCTGAACGCCTACGTACATTCTAAGTCGAATAAGCTAACCAGGATTGGCCACGCTGGTTAAAGCGCGACATCACTGCGCTTAAACGATGCAGGCAACGAAGATTGCTAAGAGCTTGCGGCACCTAGCGCATCCGAACAACTGCAGAGACGCTGATTGCTCAGTGGAGGCCACGGAGGGACCTCACAATGCGATACCAAATCAAGCAGAATGCCCATTTGTTACGTCAAGTTCAGAAAGATAAACAAAACACGAAGCTTTAAGCAAACAATGATTTTCGATTAACTCTTCTTCAGGCTCACACAGTAATATACATTAGGTAACGTCGGTTGCAATCGTCTATAACAAATAAACATTTGATCAGAAAATTTAACTTGTGATTACGATGGCAGTCCTCTGATCACATGGCTGAAGTCAGGTGAAGTTGCAGAGTACCATCACTTCCTTCGCGGCTGGTGGTCGGCCAGGGAAGTTGTAGTGTTTGTATCAGCTTCTTCTGGACACACAAGTCGGGAATGGTTAGGCGTATGCATGCTGCCTCAGCGGTGACAAGTAGGCTTGCTCTTACACGATGGTTTTGCCTTGGTGGTATATTGTAGGCAATATGAAAGAATGCTTGTTTGTTTATCTGGTGGCTTGTGTTGATTAGATGGTTTGTAATCGCACTGCAGTTTGTCCTATTCTCGCGATTACAGAGCCAACCTGGGAGGTGTTCCTTAATTCTATTACCTAAATGCCTGGTCGTCCGTCCAAAGTATCTGGTCCCGCGCAAGCAGGTGTCCCGGTAGATTAACGTCGATTGGAGAAGATCAGGCACTCAGTCTTGGAATCTCGCAAATAGTAAAGGTCTGCTGGTGAAAATCACATTCAGCTAAGCCACATTAAAGGTCTTTTTGCAGCTCTGCTGTAGCCGACGCGTGCATATCTCGGCCGCGAAATTTCCTTTGAATGGAAGTACCAGGTATGCTGTTTCTTTTCAACGGTTTGTTTTGATAATTTGATGTGCATCGCCTCACATAGGTCTCTATAAATCGGCCGGAAATCCATTTTGGAGAAGCGTTTCATTGATTTGCACGAGATCGGTTTTATGGTACCTTCGATGCATATATTGTATGCCCTACCGGTTAGCGTTCGCAAAAATGTTTTGTTGGCTGAGTAAGGCGAAATTATTAAAGTTCATGTATTGCCCCGTGCAATATGGTTTCCGGCATATTTTTCTTTGGATTGATCCATCTGTGCACTCATTGACAGTTCACCAAAGGGCTGCGACTACAACTCGGCGTTCTGTATCGTGAACATGTAACGAACAAAGTCACGCCAGTACAAAGTTGCAGCCCACCCACAACATTCATCGTAGTGACTGGAATGCATTTAAGGAACTTATCTGCACTATGAATTGGGAGTCGACATTCTGAACCGGCAAACCGACTATGGCTGCTGGTGAACTTGTCAACAACATTGCTGCATGTGCTGATGTACTGGCACCTGTGGTAATGAGCCCCACCAATAGGTAATGCGACAAACATACCCAACTGAAAAATGCCGAAGGAAAACTGAAGAAACTTTAGGGCATCTTATCACAGGAGCCACATTTTCGATACTCAACCATATATACATTAAGCCGAATTAAGTTATGGGACCCGTTTTCCCAGCTTATGAATGAAAACACTGCGTAAGAGATAACTGTGATTCGCTACCTGCATTAGAACAATATGGGCAATCACTGATGATGCCTACGCCAACGCTTTGTGATCCAATGAATTTAAGTTAATAATTCAAGAACATAGGTGGGAAATGGTATGGAGTCTCTTCGTTAGCTAATTACGCTGAATGACCAACCAGGGTTTTGGCACGCGGATCAATCGAGTATGTGGCGGGCGGCCGTACTGGTAGGCAGCTTGGGACTCTTTGCAACCATGTTAGGGATGTGCGCTGCGACTCCCTGTGAGTCTATTGTCAGTAAGCCCACTGTACTTGCGGTAGCATGTATTCTATGCACAAACTGTCTTTAACGGTGTAGTCGGTTAGTTCCATTAGGATAAGCTGGATTACATTGGTCAGGCATTTGGCCGACTTCAGATACCGTGCGCCTACCATTGAAACAGTTAGTGCTAATGGGATATCGTCATTGTGGATTTTCGGCAGTCCTTACAAATAAGGAAGCCGAGATGCTCGAATGCCTGGCTGTGTCAAATATTTTGCTATTCTACCACGTAGAGTTGATGGAGTAGATAACCTGAACCGTAGGGACGACTTTCAATTTGGGGTGACCTACGGGAGAACGAATATCCCGAGCTATTTATAACACGACACGCGCACACAAACCCCAGCAGAAAACATCAACTGACGTTCCTAAGGAAAAGAGGGCATTAGCCGGCGCACGAATTCAGTCGATACATCTTTGCATGTTACATATATTTACAGATTATCTGTGTATTGCTCAAATTGGTCTGCCGAGTTGATGTTTGAAGTGCCCGCTGGCGTTTTGCGTACAACGCAGCATTAGCCTGAAGGTATCGGCTGGCACTTTCTCCAACTGCCAATGGTGGTTCTGCAACATTCGTGCAAAATGTTCCGCTTCAATTCCTCAAGAGAGTTTGGCTTCGTTTTGTAAGCACGCTGTTTCAAATAACCCCAGAGTAATAAATCCAAATGGTTCAAATTCGTTGACCGAGCGGGCCACTCATTAATTCCTCCCGGCCCGACCCAACCGCTAGTAAACGTCTGCATTAGAAAATGCCTTACCGTTTGTGCATAGTGTGCATGTGCGCCATCTTGTTGCAATCAAACGGTACTTAATAACCCAGAAGCTTCGAGTTCCGGAATGGCACAATTTTCCAATATATCCTCCTACGAGGATGC